CCCCCCCCCCCCCCCCAGAAATGTATGCCCTCAATCATGTTCATAACGCCTAAAAAACCTATTTACAACTTTATATTGTCAACATTCTTCTACCTGCCCTGTAAGGTGTTAACTATATCAGAAATGAAAACTGCTCCTTTAATAGGATCCGTGACTCCATTACATGTTACATACTCTCGTTTATCCAGATACAAGAAAATTTTACCTAAAAAAAGGATTATCAAACAAATTCATCAATTATAAAATCATAAAAAATTTTGATTAAAAAAATTTGAAAATTTGTATCTCGATTATAATTAAAGGATTTGAGTCTTTGCAACAAACATACATTTTCGAATCCCTATATCTTTGCAAACCTACTACTTTAATATTTAATTATCTGATATAACAGAAATCAACATTTGAAATATCTAAGGTTTACGACGGTGGGTTTTAAAGATAAAGGGTTTAAAAATTAGGATTTCTGACAAAGACTCAATTCCTTTTATTTACTTACCATTCGGAGAACATTTTTTATATATTTTTGACTTGGATACCATCCTATGCTTCTGTTGTGGTAATTACAACATACTGATATGTAATGTTTAAAATTACAAGCACTTTTATATCTTCTCCATTGTCTCCAAATGTACTGCAGGGGTAAGCATCTAATAATACTTTGTAAAAAAAATAGTTGATTTTATCGCCAAAAAAAAAACTTTGACCGAGTTTATTTTTAAAAAAAAGTCGGTTTATTTTTGTTGATATTATCAGCCCTGTTCGTGGTAATGTTGTTTAGAAGCCGTACAATTGCATCCGATATTTAGTTACGCATCTTTTTATTATTACATTTCAAACAGAAGATTAAATATTTATTTGCTTCCTTTAAAGGAAACAAATACACCCTCTGGAAGGGCCTGTTCTTATAAATTTTTAAATAATATATATAAAATAAAATGAAATAGGGTCAGTTATAAAAAAAGAAGAAATGTATTGATTTTCTGAAATCCTATAACAGTCAGGAATTGATATCTTTACTCAAACTTTAGAATTCTTTTATCTTTAAAACTTTACGTCTAATGTTTTAAACTAATAATTCTCCTGCTTGATCAAATGACCAAAATATCAAAGGTTTAAACCATCGGGTTGTAAAAAACGAATTAGAGTTTGAGGCGAGTAGTCCTTTTTGAAACCAAAACTATGCATGATGTTCTAGAATCCTAATTTCCTTGAGAATACAAGTTTCAACTAGAATGAGTTAAAACGAAGAAAAATGACTGAAAAACTGTGTGCAGTTCAAGAAAATAAGTTTCCTCGAACTTGTTATTTCTATTTATAAATATAAAAATGTCGGAACCATGATATGGATTATATTTGATATATTTATGTGACCTGAAGAGTGGGGACACACAGAGAGACATAAACTAAATCTGACGATGTCTTTAGGGCCATAACCTGGACTTTATATTCTTGAAATATATTAAACACATTTCACCAACTGGGTTCAGCAGAAATGTTAGGAAGGAAACTGGAAAAAAAAGGTTTCAAGGAAGTGTTCGTTAAAAATTAAAGATAATCCATAATGAGTTGTATCCGAAATCGATGGGTATCATCTAGTGATTTAGTTATTCAATCCGAAATCTTTTTATTGCAAAAATAAAAAATCCGTTTTATTAAATAATAAATATCTAAGTCTTGTCTGTGATAAACCAATGGACATGCGTTTTATTACAGCTCTCTTAGTTCTAAATTCAGGGGAGGAAAAGAATAATAACAATCGATTTCGTTTACAATAAAAAAGGCAGAAAATAGGAATTTAAAGAATTACAATGAGTGTAAGTTGCCTTTAAAGAAGTTTAATTTTTTTAAAAAATCTAATCTTTAGATTTTTTATTCTTTAGTTTAAATTAGAAGTTTAAACTAGTATCTAGTAAATATACACATAAATATAGGTAGAATAGGTAGAAATAGAAATAGAAATAGATTGGTAGATATAGAAGTATATTGGTAGATAACGGAGTGAATAGGTAGGTATAGAAGTAGATTGGTAGATATAGAAGTATATTTGTAGATAACGGAGTGAATAGGTAGATATAGAAGTAGATTGGTAGATAAATGAGTGGATAGTTAGATTGGTAGATTGGTAGATATGCCAGTAGAAAGGTAGATAAACCAGTAGATTGGTAGATATACCAGTAGATTGGTAGATAACGGCGCATGAGATAGGACTAGTTAGATTGGTAGATAACGTAGTATGATATAGGCAGACGTATTAGTAGATTTGTATATATACCAGTAGATTGGTAGATAACGGAGTGAGAGATAGGTAGATATACCAGTAGATTGGTATATAACGAAGTATGATATAGGTATATACCAGTAAATTCGTAGATAACGGAGTACGAGAGAGGTAGATTGACCAGAAAATAGGTAGAAACACTATTAGATTGGTAGATAACGCAGTATGAGATAGGCAGATAGACAGATGGATTTGGACATAATGCACGGGGTTGAGTTGGATTTTGACCCTTGCCCTCCACCTTGGCTCTAATACCCACCAATCATCATTCCAACATCTACTATAGGAATATACTCACAGATAGGGATGCAGGCGAAGGAGCGAGGGGGGGGGAGGGATGAGATACAAGATGCAAAAAGGAAAGGGAAGGTAGAGTATTACAGGCATGAATTGAAGAACCATATAAATAAAAAATAAACATAAAAAATTCAAAAACATGAACGAACATAGTGTTGGAGTAAAATACAACGAGCGAATAAAAATGGGTTGGAAAAAATTTGAATTATGATTAAGCCCCCATGTCACCAACCTTGGCTTTTAGAAATTTTAAAGCAATCGGTGAAAACTCTTCAAGCATATCGTAGTACCAAGTTATCTACAGCTTAGGAATGTCATTTCATATTAAGCTGTAGCGTATAGAGTGTTAAAGAGTGTAGACTGTAATGTGCAGAGTGTAGAGTGTGAGTGCAGAGTGTAGAGTGTAGAGTGTAGAGTGTAGAGTGTAGAGTGTAGAGTGTAGAGTGTAGAGTGTAGATTGTAGAGTGTAGAGTGTAGTGTAGNCCAGATCTCTAGTTTCCAGATCTCTAGTTTCCAGATCTCTAGTTTCCAGATCTCTAGTTTCCAGATCTCTAGTTTCCAGATCTCTAGTTTCCAGATCTCTAGTTTCCAGATCTCTAGTTTCCAGATCTCTAGTTTCCAGATCTCTAGTTTCCAGATCTCTAGTTTCCAGATCTCTAGTTTCCAGATCTCTAGTTTCCAGATCTCTAGTTTCCAGATCTCTAGTTTCCAGATCTCTAGTTTCCAGATCTCTAGTTTCCAGATCTCTAGTTTCCAGATCTCTAGTTTCCAGATCTCTAGTTTCCAGATCTCTAGTTTCCAGATCTCTAGTTTCCAGATCTCTAGTTTCCAGATCTCTAGTTTCCAGATCTCTAGTTTCCAGATCTCTAGTTTCCAGATCTCTAGTTTCCAGATCTCTAGTTTCCAGATCTCTAGTTTCCAGATCTCTAGTTTCCAGATCTCTAGTTTCCAGATCTCTAGTTTCCAGATCTCTAGTTTCCAGATCTCTAGTTTCCAGATCTCTAGTTTCCAGATCTCTAGTTTTCCAGGTCTGGATGTTCACGACATATTTTTAGGAACTTAAGATGTGGTGATGAATATTACATATATGTGTATTGATAAATATTAGAACCAATGGTTTATATACACAACACTCTAGGGGTTCTCTGTATACCCATGTATGGATCTATATCTGAACTCTAATCAATTTTGTTCCAATCCTATTCTTCAACAGTCATCTTTCTTTTTCTTTCCTTATACTCTTCTCCATTCATCTTTCTTATTCTTCCTTCATCTTTCTTCTTCCTTCATCTTTCTTCTTCCTTCACTTTTCTTCTTCCTTCATCTTTCTTATTCTTCCTTCATCTTTCTTCTTCCTTCATCTTTCTTATTCTTCCTTTATCTTTCTTCTTCCTTCACATTTCTTATTCCTCCTTCATGTTTCTTCTTCCTTCATCTTTCTTTTTCTTCCTTCATCTTTCTTATTCTTCCTTCATCTTTCTTCTTCCTTCATCTTTCTTATTCTTCCTTCACTTTTCTTCTTCCTTCATCTTTCTTCTTCCTTCCTCTTCCTTCTTCCTTCATCTTTCTTCTTCCTTCACTTTTCTTCTTCCTTCATCTTTCTTTTTCTTCCTTCACATTTCTTCTTATTTCTTTGTACTTTTCTAGTCTTTATATTCATCTTTCTTCTTCTTTTATTAATTCGTCTACATTAATTTTTCTTCTAATTTCTTTATATTCTTGTACATTCACATTTCTTCTTGTTTCTTCATATTCTTATACATTCACATTTCTTCTTATTTCTGTATATTCTTGTACATTCACATTTTTTCTTATCTTTATATAAATTTGGCTTGTCTGTCTGTTTGTCTGTCTGTCTGTCTGTTTGTATCCAATAAACGTCAAAACGGCTGAACTGATCGGGCCCAAATTTTTTGTGGGACATCTAGGGACCCCAGGGAAGGTTTATGAATGATTGAAATTTTAAAAATTTATGTTTCAGAGGTTTTTAATTTTGTTAAAAAATTTAAATTTATGAAAATCCGCGATTTTTTTTTTTTAAATCCGCAAAACTTTTTTCATCTTTGTTTTGAAATGTAAACAAAAAGAACATGTTCACAATTTAAATAGAAGGTGGGCGCAAAGCGCCCTAAATGCCTAGAAAGAAGGGCGCGAAGCGCCTTGAATTTCTAGTTTCTTTATATTCTTGTACATTTACATTTCTTCTTATTTCTTTATATTCTTGTACATTCACATTTCTTCTTATTTCTTTATATTCTTGTACATTCACATTTCTTCTTATTTCTCTACATTATTGTACATTCACATTTCTTCTTATTTCTTTATATTCTTTTACATTCACATTTCTTCTTATTTCTCTACATTCTTGTACATTCACATTTCTTCTTATTTCTTTATACTCTTGTACATTTTGGGACTCTCTACCGGAGCATGCATAAGCTCTTCAGTACTTCCATCATCCGATTGCTTTTTTGTATGCAGGATCTGGCTATTCACCCTATTTTTTTGACTTACCCTGCATACTCTTCTACTTTAACCTTTTTACATTCTTTCATATTCTTATTCCTTCATGTTCCTTCATCTTTCCGTTCTTTCATTTTTTTCATTCACTTTTTTCTTTATCTTTTTCCTTTATCTTTTTCCATTATCTTTTTCCTTCAGCTTCTTCCATCAACTTTTTCCTTAATCTTCTTCTTCTCCATCTTCTTTCTTCAATTTCTTCTTCCTACATCATCTTCTTCCTTCATTATCTTCTTCCTTCATCATCTGCTTCATCCATCATCTTTTTGTTTAATCTTCTATCTACATCATCTTCTTCATTCATCATCTTCTTCCTTCATCATCTTCTTCCTTCATCATCTTCTTCCTTCATCATCTTCTACCTTCATCATTCTTCCTTCATCATCTTCTTCATCCATCATCTTCTTGTTGTATCTTCTTCTTTCATCATCTTCTTCCTTCATCATCATCTTCCTTCATCTTCTTGTTTCAT